GGCCGAGCAGCATTTGCAGTGAGGAAGGAAGGAAGAAAGGCCCCAGGCTCTGAGGGAGGGCGGGCCTGGCCCTGGAGAGGGGGAGCGCGTGTGAGTGTGTGCGCCCGAGACGGCGCTCCCAGGCTTGGCGGCGGGGAGACGTCGGCGCCCCAGGAAGGTGTCCGGGAGGGCGCAGCGGACTTGGCTGAGACACGGCCAGCAAACGCTCACGCGGCAAGTGGAACGGAAGCCGGTGTCTTGGCTTGAGCCGGCCTTCCTTAGGCGGGCACAGGCAGCGTCGGGCGAGGCGAGGTGGGCGGTGATGGCAACGGTTGCCCAATCGCTCCAAGCCTGGGGGAAAGAAAAGGAGAGGTGGTCATTCATAGCTGAATGCCCTGCAGCTTCACAAAAGGCCAGGGGTTGGCCCACTTAAGCATTTCCGTGGGACTCAGAAAAGGTGCTTTCAAAAGTCCACCCTCTCGCCCGAGACGGTTCCCACAAAGGGCGGCAGAATTCACTTGGACCGTACCTGTGCAGCCCTGCAAAACCTTTCAGAGGCAGGGTGAGATGGGTGGATGAGGGGGGGTGGGAGGGATACTGGGATTAGTGGTGGTGGAGAATGGGCACTGGTGGAAGGATGGATACTGGATCATTGTACAACTGAAACCCAAGCACAAAAATTTGTAAGTCTACGACTGTACCTCATGGTCTTTCACTAATTAAAAAAAAACTTTCTTTACAGAGCAACGCCTTAGGTTAGCCTCTCTGCATGCCGCCTTCCCAGCCCTGCAGGAAAGGGGTGCTTCCCTGGCAAGTGGGGGGGGGGGGAGCGGGAGAACCGGAAGGTGCCTTCTTTCACCCCATACTAGGGACTTTGGGATCTTTTAGAAGACCGTTCTACCACAGACCCGAGCCTCTGATTCCTAGGGCAAATCTGCGACCGAGTTACAAGCTTTGCTAGGAGTCCGAGTGAATAGTCAGGCGAGGTCCTCCAGGAGGAAGTAGGAAGGCCTGGGTTGGGATGAGCACACTCCCCTCCCCGCCCCCCGCCGCCCTCCAGCAAGCCACGCTCTTGGGAGGGTGGAGGGTAAATCTTTCTACCTTCCCCCAGTCCGACCGCTCCCGGAGAAAGAGGACCAGCAGGTGTCTGTGCCCGTTCAAATGTTGTGCGCGCCCCTCCCCCTCCTCGCAGCCGGCGCGGGCAAACACCCACCGCAGCCCACTCAACGTTCAAAAGGCAACTTTGTAAGAGGACCAGCGTTAATGCAGCCGACCTCGCTAGCGAGGCTCCCCGGGGTCAATAAATGTGGTGCCTCCCACCGAGTGCCGTGGGGGGGGGGGGCGAGGGGGGGTCAGCCTCTCTCCCGCTGGGCTCTCCACACCCGTGGCTCTCAGGCACAACTGTGCCACGGTTACTTTGCAGATCTGAAGCCCCCTTGGAACACGGCTTTCCAACTGACTAGCTTCAAACCCAGAGAAAGGCCGAATGTGTGTGTGTGTGGGGGGGGGGGGGGGTAGTCGCCCCAAGCATCCGGGAGCCCGCCGGGCCAGTCACGCAGCAAAGACCTGGGAGTCCCAAGGTTGACCAAAACGGGCCATTCCGGGACCCCTTTGCCCCACCCCCCCATCGGTGAAGCTGCCTGCCTCTTCGGTGGGTAGGGACCAACCACGTCGAAATCCCAGAGGGCAAGGAGGGGGACCTCTCTGGGTGAAGTTCCCAAGCGAAGCCAACAAACGGCGCTGTTGCCGCGCCCTGGGTCCTCGGAGCCCCAGGCCCAGCCCCCGGCGGAGGGAAGCGGAGCTCTCCTGGGAGGGCGGGGACCTGGGGAAGTGTGGGTGCTTGGCCCGGCTCCCAGTCCACCATACCCGGTCCCCTACGCCGCCCACGGGATCTCTGGACACCTGGAAGGGAGAGAGCCGTCGAGCACCGAGAGAGCTGGGGGATGGGCTGGCCGTGGGTCCCGATGAATCGCTCCTCTTTCCTCGTTGGACGCAGGGGAGCAGGTTGAAGATTCAGATTGCCGCCACCCGCGTGAGGCACGGAGGCCAGTGGGGCCCCTGTAACTCTGGGCGACACTTCTCCCGACCCCCAGGGAAGGTCGTACCGATTCGCTGGTACCTGCACCTGGGCGGGTGAACGGGTGGACCCAGCAAGCAGGTTTTGCATCCAGCCGCCGCCCCCTCCCCCGCCACATCTCCTCCACCTCCCACCCCCTCCCCCACCCCCGCCCCCTTATACCAGTGGCTTAGCTCCTCTACTGAACAGGCAGCTTCTCCAAAGCGTTTCGAAGGATATTCCGTGTCCCTTTTCCTCTGGGCTGTGCAGATTCCTCCTCAGCGCCACGCGGCACGAGCGCCGCTTTCATCGCGGTCCCGGAGGGCGGTCAGGAGCGGGGAAAGAAGGTGTCTGATCTCGGCGTATGTCCGTTGGAAATCTGGCAGAAGGATGTAAAGTGAAAATGAGCTCACCTAAGTCCCGGGGTAGATATGATCAAATGACAAACAGCGGTGTGTGGGGGTGGGGAATGGGGGGGGGGATACGGGTAGTCCGCTCTGCAGAATAAACTACTTTGGAGAGGAGCTGGGGGGAGGGTGTCCAGCACCACACCCCTTGCCTCGGGGAAAATGCAGCCCAGGCGCTGTCACCACCGCGGCTTACTTGGGTACTAAAACTTGGAAGGCATCCTGACATCTGTCAGGCTGCTGGACGCCCGGCCGCGCGTCCGTTGGGTAGTTTTTCGAAAACGCGCTTCACTTAGCAACAGCCTCGGAAACCCAAGGAAGCATCTGGAGAAGGCGGCAGGAGGGCAGGACTGCAACACACGGACTTCCTTGGGAGATGCTGGCTTTGCCTAGGAAAAGTTGGTTTTTGTCAGCCCATTTGCCCAGAAAACGGGTGCAGGTGAGCGTGGCCGGACGCTCCGTTTCCGGAGGCGTGCCTGCCAGTTCGTATCAGCTTTAAGGGTGAAGCAAGCTCGCACGCTCACACCCCACGCGCACGCACGCGCGCGCAGACACACGCGCACGAATACACAAAACCTCTCCTCCACAGATCCATGCCAAAGAGTTTAACACTCCAAATCCGTGCACCCATGCAAATGAGGGCAGTCCCAGCCAGCGGATGTTTGCTTGGGCCTTGGGGGAAACACACAGCAAACTTAAATGGGTGGGGGGTGGGGGTGGGGGTTGGTCACCCCAAACTTCCGGGAGGCGATGCGGGCCCTCATGCAGCGATTCTGGTGCCACCCCAAGGCTAGCCCCGGGAGAGGCGATTTGTTCCCCCCCCAGGCCGCCGGTTGCAACTTTGTGCAAGATACAAGCGCAAGGCTGGACGCAGTCCCTAGAATCCGCGGCTGATGCAGGAGCGCTTGCACGCACTCCTGCACTCCTGGCCTGGGTGTTGGAATAAATTCCTATTGATTTTGTTTTTACACTTAAGGTTGACGCCTCTCTTTGGGTTCCCCACCTTTCCACGAGGCTGGTGGGGGAGGGGACGGCGGCGACGAGGCCCCACACCGCGCGGACACCTTTTTTTTTTCAATCTCTGCCACTCGTGCCCGGCTAGCTGCGCCTTTCCACCCGTCGCCACGGGCGGCTGCGGGAGTTTCAGACGCTGAGCCGCGGACTTGGGCCGGCGGCGGCGGCGGCGGCGTTCGGGGTTCCCTCTCTCCGCAGGCGGGATTCCCGCGCGGCCCGTCTTGGAGGGACAACCCCAAACGTGGAGGGGGAGTGTTGTGCCTCCGGTCCCGGGGCTCCAGTGAAGCAAGCTGGAAGACAGAAACAAAAGGGTAGGGGGGGATGGAGAAGGACGGAATCCGTTAGCAGCGCCTGCTCCCCGGGGAGGCGGCGCGGCAGCGCGGCGAGAACAGTGCTCAGTGCTCCTTCCCGGCAGGTGCACGGCCCGCCGAGGGGGCCCGACGATCCGCCCCGAGGACAGCCTCGGCTCCTCTCCGGCCACCGTCCCCCCCCTTCAAGAAACTTTTCTTTCACTCCGAGCGGCTCCGTGTTGCCATGAAAACGGATTTTCCAAGGGGCCCGACCCTCCCCCTCAGGGGCATCGGACTGGAAAAACCGAAATGGCCCGAGAGCAGAGACAAAAAGGGGCCGCTAAGCGGGGGCCCGGAGTGGGCGCGCCGAGGCCTTTCTCCCCCCCCCCCATCCGCCCCCCACACACTTGCCACGCCGCCTCCTGGGAGCCGGGGCCGGCTGCCCGCTCGCCCTCCCAGCCCGCCGCCGGGGACGCAGGCAAACCCCCCGGTGCGCGCCGCGGTTCCCAGCCCCGCCTCTGGTACCCTCCGGGCCCCCCGCCCCCCCCCCAGCCCGGCTCCGAGTCCGACGCGCCGATCGGCGGCTTCTCGGTAGCTCCCGGGGCCCCCTCGGGGGCGCGCGGGGTACCCCAGCCCGCCCGGGGAGACGACCCAGCTCCGCGTCCCCAGCGCGGGCCGCGGAAACGTCCGCGGGTCTCGCGCGCGGATAGCGGAAAGCCCTGGAGGGTGGTCCCGAGGGCTGGGGGACCCCCCCTCCCCGATCGGGGCTGCCGAGGTGCGTCGGAAACCCCGCGGATGCCGCTCGTCCTCCTCAGCAACCCCCCCTCCTGCCCGCGCGCCCCCTCCCTCCCCCCCCCCCAGTCACCTCCTCGACTTTCGTTCTTTGAAACTTTTGAGACCCTAATTGGTGGTCTCGGAGAGACGCTCCGGGGCTCCCGCCTCCTGAATAACTCTCATCACGTCCCCCGGGCCCACGGGGGCGTGGGGGTGAACTAAAGGGCTCCACGAACTTTTTTTTCTCCCGAGCGGGGCCGAACAGGGGCTCCGTGATGATTGGCTAGGGCGCATCACGGCGAGTCTGTCAATCACCGGGCCTCCTGGTGGCGAGGGGCGGACCGAGCCCCAACCCCGGGGGATCCGAGCAGGTATATAAGGGACCCGGCGGGCGCCCAGCCGGACTGCGAAAGCAACCAGCTCCCGAGCGCGCATCAGGTGCTAGCTGCCTGCGGCTTCCCGCTGACCGGGCACGGCCACTTGGGCTCGCCTAGTCCTTCCCGCCTGACCCGCTGGCCCACCGGCCGGCCCTCCAGCGCCCACCGACGGAGTCCCAGGGCCTTTTCACCGTGGCCGCTCCTCCAGTCCCTGGAGCGCCTTCTCCTCCCGCCACTCTGGCGCACCTTCTTCCCGCCCCGACGATGTACAGCCTGCTGGAGAGTGAGCTCAAGAACCCCGTGGGACCCCCCGGCCCGGCGGCGGGCGCGGGCGGCCCGGGCGGCCCGGGAGGCGCAGGCAAGAGCGGCGCGAACGCGGGCGGCGGCGCGAACGCGGGCGGCGGCAGCGGCGGCGGCGGCGGCGCGAACGCGGGCGGCGGCGGAGGCGGTGGCGGCGGCGGCGGCGGCGGCGGCGACCAGGACCGGGTGAAACGCCCCATGAACGCCTTCATGGTGTGGTCCCGGGGCCAGCGGCGCAAGATGGCCCTGGAGAACCCCAAGATGCACAACTCGGAGATCAGCAAGCGCCTGGGCGCCGACTGGAAACTGCTGACCGACGCCGAGAAGCGGCCGTTCATCGACGAGGCCAAGCGGCTGCGCGCCGTGCACATGAAAGAGTACCCGGACTACAAGTACCGGCCGCGCCGCAAGACCAAGACGCTGCTCAAGAAGGACAAGTACTCGCTGCCCGGCGGCCTGCTGCCCCCCGGCGCCGCCGCCGCCGCCGCCGCCGCGGCCGCCGCCGCCGCCGCCGCCGCGGCCGCCAGCAGCCCGGTGGGCGTGGGCCAGCGCCTGGACACGTACACGCACGTGAACGGCTGGCCCAACGGCGCGTACTCGCTGGTGCAGGAGCAGCTAGGGTACCCGCAGCCCCCGAGCATCAGCAGCCAGCCGCCGCCGCCGCCGCCGCCGCCGCCGCCCGCGCTGCCGCAGATGCACCGCTACGACATGGCCGGCCTGCAGTACGGGCCCATGATGCCGCCGGGCGCGCAGAGCTACATGAACGCCGCGGCCGCCGCCTCGGGCTACGGGGGGATGGCGCCGTCGGCCGCGGCCGCCGCCGCCGCCGCCGCCGCCGCCTACGGGCCGCAGCCCTCGGCCGCCGCCGCCGCCGCCGCCGCCGCCGCCATGAGCCTGGGCCCCATGGGCGCCGTGGTGAAGACGGAGCCCAGCTCGCCGCCGCCCGCCATCGCGTCGCACTCGCAGCGCGCGTGCCTCGGCGACCTGCGCGACATGATCAGCATGTACCTGCCGCCCGGAGGCGACGCGGCCGACGCCGCCTCGCCGCTGCCCGGCGGCGGCGGCGGCCGCCTGCACGGCGTGCACCAGCACTACCAGGGCGCCGCCGGGACTGCGGTCAACGGCACGGTGCCGCTCACCCACATCTGAGCGCGCGCCCACCCCCGGACCCCCCGCGATCCCGCCCCCCGCCACCCCCGCACCCCCGACTCGGGACGCCTTGCCTCTCTAGCTCCGCTCGCCTGGGACTGTCGTTGCCTTGTACCGCTGATGGGGGAAAGGACTGAAAGTTTTCTGGGGTTTGGTTTGGTTTTTTGTTTATTTTGGGGGGGAGGGGGGAGCCCCGCCAGTCGGGTTTTGTACAAAAGCGGAAAGAAAAGAGGGAAAAAAAGAAAAAAAAAAGAAAAAAAAGTAAAAAAAAAAAACGCCAGCCGGAGCGGCCGAAACGGGGACTTTCGAACGCTCGCGGGCCCCCCTCGTCTCTGCCCCGGCCCTGTCCCCCCGCCGTGGCAGGCTGGGACGCGCTGCGAGGCGGCCGAAGAGAAACGGCAGCGCCCCCGCCGCCGCCACCGGGGGACCCTGGGTTATTTGGTTCTGTTGTATCTGTCGCGTTCGTTGGCCGTTGCCACCGGAGTGGCACGAGTGTGCTTTCTCGGGCGAAGCTGCCCCGAGCACCGCAGCGCCCCTCCCCCGCCCCTTCGCGTTCCCTCTGTGTTCCTCCTGGCTTGGGGGGGGGTGGGGTGGGGGTGGGGGTGGGGGGCTGACCGGCGCGAAGGAGCGCGGCAGCCGAGGCCAAGGTTAATTTATAGCCAGGTGTGCCCCATGCCTCCCGCCCCGCCGCCTCTTGGCCGCGCGGGACAACTTCTGGCCAGTCTGCATTAAAAAACTGTTGCATTGATATAAAACTTTTGCCCGTGATCTCGTTTGCTATTTCGTCGCGCTAAAGTTATTTGGATCTCGTTGGGGTGGGGTGGGGTGGGTGGGGTGGGGGGGTGGCGGCGGGGAAAGGGGGGGTCGGTTTTGTTTCCGGTTTTTTCGAGGTTTTGCTCTTAATCGCTTACGTGAGAGATCAATAAATTTTATAACCAAATGAACGGAGTCTTCCTGGTTTCGCGGGCCTGAGATTTCAGGCGCGAGTTGGGGCGGGGACGGTCACTCCGTATTTAAGAACTGCGGTGCCGTCCCGGGGACGGAGAGGGATTCGGGGGTGGGGGGGACTGTGGGTATCCTGATCTATAACTTGGTTTTCCTTAGCGCCTGGGAATGCAAATCTCTCCCAGTGTTTTCAACTGAAACTCCGAAGAGGAGGAGGAGGCTGGCCTGGCCGAGAGCGTCTTCTGGGGACGGGCACGCGCGAAGCGGGCACACCTCACGGCCACGCACTTGTTGATAGCGGTGAAAGTCGGCGGCCGCGCCAGGCGGGAAAACGCGAGGCCTCCCGTGGCCCCTGCAACCGCGCTCCCTCCCCCACCTCTACTCCCCCCCCCAAAAAAGGGTACCTTTACCTTTGTGATCTGGGGCGGGAAGACATTTGAGCGGAGCTGAAATATTTACAAAACGAAAAGCCTTCGGAAATCTCATTGATCCTATTTTTTTTAAAAAAAAAACACCTGTTCACAGGCACCCCTTAGCAGGAAATCCCGTCCCATTCAATCCGGGGCGCTGTAGCGTGGGAACCCGCATTCCACACTGGAAAGTGACTTGCAAAAGTGCACCTTGCCTCTTTAAAAATGATCCTTCCAAGTCTTAGGATAAGATAGCTTTAAAAAAAAAAACAAACTTGTCAACCCACTTGCAAGAGGCGCTCTCCCTTCGCCAGCCCGCAGCCCGCTTTCTCTGCCCCTCCCACTTTCCCCCAGCCCTGACCCCTGGGCATTCCACAGGGCGCCCCTCCACCCCCAAGGGCCCTTCGTTTCGCGCACGGCCACGCGGCTCAGCCAGTGTATCTGTTTGGGGCCTAGGAAGAAAACAAATAGAACCAGTGTTTTTTTACCCCCTCCTCAGCTGTTTGAGGTGATTTCCTTAATCCCTTTAATCCTGTTACCTCGCTATCCCAGAATAACTAAACTCGGTCTTTCCAATAAGCAGAGCACCGTGCACCGTGGACCAGGGGTTACCGTGGCCTGAGGTCCGCGCTGCAACTCTGGGCGACAGAATGTCCCGTAAATTGGTCCGAATTCCACATTTCCAACCGACTTCCTTTGTGCGGGGCCAACCATTCACCTGCGGGGGCTCAGGCGGGCCTGGGGCGGGGGATGGGCGAGGGCTCTCTGCAGCTTCGGGGGTCGTGCCCGCTTTTTTACACATCACTGCGGATCTTGCAGGCTGAGCTCAGCCCGCCTCAACACCCCCCCTCCACCCCCCATGAATGGCCGGGTCTCTGTAAAGACAGCGCCACCCGGCTCCTGAAGACGCTGGGACTGCCTTCCCCCACCTCCCGTAGTCCCCTCACCTCGGGGCGCTGACACACAGACCCCAGCACTGAGTCTCCACCCCGGGAGTCCTGTGGCTCAGGGAACGCTCTGGAGCTAGCCCAGCTGCAGAGATGGGGCCCGCCAGGTTGAGCAGGACTGCAATCCTTGTTGCTCTGATTTAAAGTCTCTCTCTCTCTCTCTGCTCTGATTTAAAGTCTCTCTCTCTCTCTCTCTCTCTCTCTCTCTCTCTCTCTCTCTCTCTCACACACACACACACACACACACACACGCAAGCGTGCACGCACACACCACACAGGCACACCCCCCTCCAGACACCCAGGGCATGCATGGCCCAGGAGGAGACTTTCATGCACACACACACACTCCCCTTGATAAATTTCACCGAGTTTCCACCTCAGTTAAGCACCTGCCGAGTGCTTACCCTGCTAGTAAGTGGGGAACTCAGAAGGCTCCAGGAAAGAGAGGGTAAAAAAAAAAAAACAATTCCGCCCCACTGAGGGGGCGGTGCCAAGGGAGGGGGGCTAAAGTGACACTGCCCCCTTGGAAGACTCCATGGTGAAGCCGCTTCCTCAGAAGGTGCAGGTTAAACACTGCTCACTCCCCCCTGACACATTCAACCCTTCGTGCTGCACTTTTGTCTGATTTCCAAATTGTCTTTAAGAGAAAAGATTTGATCAATCAGCATATTGGAGGATTGAAGTACAGATGAAAGGTGCCCCACCCCCGGCCTGAGCCTCCCCCCCACACACACACTGCCTCCCTACACTAGAGCTCTGGGGCAGCCTCCTGAACTGGGACGCCCTGGCATCCTGCAGGCCTGAGTTTTCACAGGGGAGCACTTCCTCCACCCCAATCAAAAAAACAAAAAAAAGAACTCCTCCCCCTCCATGCCTCCATGGACTACTTCTACCAGGGCAGTTTCCCACTGTGTCATGGATGGTGGTTCTGGGAAGCTTTCATTGGAAATGCAGGTTCTGTTCCTTCAGTAGCACACTGACCAAATCAGCTCAAGCCCCCAACTCAGCGGGCTGCTTTTGCGTCAGAGGAAATCAGACCCGACCAAGGACATGAAAGCACTCCAGGTGGTTGAGTTGGCTTGGGGAGGGCACGGGGTGACCAGCTGCCAGAACCTCTGCTCTGCCCAAGACAACAGAGACACCCACCAACTCTTAGTCCCCAGTGCTTCACCACCCCCTAATCTAGGGGGAGCTCTGGAGAAAAGAGGAAATTCCTGGCATACAAGCCCAGGCAACCAGGGCTTGAGGAATGGTTAAGAGATGTGGGGGGGGGGGGAGCAATACAAAAGAGAGAATAGGGGAGATTTTCTGCCATAGAGGCAGGGGGTGATACTGGGGACATTGGTGGTGGAAGATGTACACTGGTGGAGGGTTGGGTGTCCGATCACTGTATGACTGAAACTCAAATAGGAAAGCTTTGCAACTGTATCTCACGGTGATTCAATAAAAAAAGAAAATAAATGAAATTGACATTCTAAACAAATAAGTAACGTGAAGTTCATGCCAAATTCAGCTTCATCAATGGCTGAATAAATAGCAGTATTCCTACATTAAAAAATAGATGTGGGGGAGCAGGGGGTGCTTTTAAGATGGAAAAACACTTGCCCATCTCTGACTCCCTGTCACCAGACCTCAGGCAGAGCTGACCTTCGGTTAGGAATTATCCTACAGAGAGATGGTCTTTCCTGCTGTGTCTATACAATCTCTGCAACAGTCACTCTTCTGGAAATCTGTTGAGGGTGTTTTTTTGGGGGAGGGGGAGCATACTGGGCGATGCTCAGGAGTTACTCCTGGCTTCTGCACTCAGGAATTACTCCTGGTAGTGCTCAGGGATGGTGCTGCGGATTGAATCCAGGTTGACCATGCACAAGGCAAGTATCCTACCCACTGCACTATCGCTCCAGTCCCAGAAATCTATGTTGGGAGGCATCCGAAATACAGGTGAAGATTTATCAACCCAGATATTCATCATGGACCTCTTTACAATGGGACGAATCCACACACCATCCAAACAGCCAACACACGGGACAAAGGTTACAGGCTAAACTGCCTTTTGAGAAAGACAACACTGCAAATATTAAAATGATGTGTGCTGAGATCAAATCACACGGGGAACCGGACCCTAAGGCCAAAAAAGATAGTCTGAGTGTGTGGCCTCTTTAAGAAAAAAGACCTAATGCCTTGGAAGTAAATGGCCCAATATGCAAAAATGTGGGGTGGTGAGCTGCGTGCTGGTTCGTCTGCCTGGAACTTCCTCCTCCTTGCCTTTTCTCTGTTAAACTAACAGTTTAACAGAGAAAAGGCAAGGAGGAGGAAGTTTCTCTCTTAAACTGTTAGTACCAGACGGGGCAGGTTTCAAATACATTCCGTCTCTACCACGAATATAGAAATGTGTTCTCCTGTGAGCAAGGAAGTGTCAATTCTTACCTTCATTTGTTTTGGGGGAGGAGGGGGAACGGGGAGCCCCAGAACAGTAATTTTCTAGCTCTCCTTCAGGTTTGGGACTGTGATGATGAACACAAGCAAGAGGATTGTACCAGAGAAAACACCTCCCACCCCCTGCCTCTGCCAAGTGTCCTTCCCCAGTAAGCAGGAGCAGGAGCAGGCTACTGACTGCCCCGTCATTCTTCGGACTCGCTCACTGGAGAAAAAGACCTCCTTGGTCTTTTCCAGCTGAAGAGATTGTATTGCAGAGAGCAG